TAGCAATATTTTTTTTGCTTAAAATAGTAATTGGCACGAAATCATGTGATTTATACAAAATCAACCATATGCGTTCCCTAATAATCTCCATGTATTAAAAGCTCCCTTATTGAAATCAGCTCCTTATATACTAATTAACGCTTGATATCAATAAATAGCTCAACAACCTCCACATTCGTATAATCAGCTATATCGCGCTTTCTCTCTATTGTTCTTAAAAATATCATATATAATATAGTGTATCCTATTAAATTATTTTATGAAAATAAGGAAAAAGAAAAAAATCCATTTACAGGCCATCGTCTAAGCAATAAATATTCTCAATTTTTGGTTATTTAAACATCAGGTGAGGCAAAGTATGGAACCATATTTTATTAGCCCCCAAATGCCCTGGTATGGCCGAGAGCGGGGGTAGGCCCTCCCTCCCTCTTAAAATGCTCTCACACGGCCACGCGTATGCAGACTCTGCCAGGGAATTCCTACCTACTGCGTTCTCGTGGCATTACTGTTATTTACGAAAATGAGAGGAAGAAAAGCGAATGCCAGGTGCTTGAACCGGATCCCAAACCAGTGGTGCACATGGGCTCAAGTATCCTGCGGGAACAAATGGCGTATGAACCAACCGTTGGTCACCGGCTACCATGGAATGCATGTCCTCACGATGTTCCACTAACTTGTGGATAAGACCTGTAGGTCGAAGGCTTCGAGTGTGGCCCCCTAAGAGAACCACCTGTTTCGGCCTGGGCACCCGGGCAGTATCACAGCCCACACACAAATAAAATGAAAATGACGATGTTTAATGAAAATTCTATTCACTCCACGATTAACAGTCAAACAATTCACATTATTATTATTATTATTATTATTATTATTATTATTATTATTATTATTATTATTATTATTATTATTATTATTATGTCATTTATTCACTCTCTTTTATTCCCACTTTATGAATCCTTATTTTTCCACTTATACAGCAGCTCACCTATAATGGAAACTCAGTTCTATCTAAACGATCTCGATCGACTGACTGGTTGAAAATTGAATGCTAACACCAAATACGAATACTGAAGCAGTTTTTCTGAAACCACGTGCACCATTCAAACTTGCTGCCTTTAACATTCGCACACTTATGCAGGTCGGAAAACAGATAGGGCTAGCTGTGTATTTGGAAAGTCTTAATATCGACGTCTGTTGTCTATCCGAGACCCATATTCGATACTCTGGCGAAGTACTACAAATTCGCTCTCCATCTGTCGCTTCAAAAGGCTTGTTTTACGTACGTTTATCCGGGGACAATTTGGCATCTTCGTCTGGTCTTGCTGGCGTTAAATGTCGCACTAAACGCTAGAGCTGAGGCAGCACTAATCGACTGGATCCCCATTAACAGTCAGTCAGGTGCTGTCAGATTAGAAAGTTCCATCAAAGTGAGAAATCGGCGTGAGAAACGATGTCGTCTCGTCATCTCCACATATACCTCGACAGATTGCAGCCCGGATGCAATCAAGGATGAATTCTACAACCAGTTAACTAATCTTCTCCAGAAAGTGCGTTCGACAGATATTGTAGTACTAGCCGGCTACTTTTGGAGTACCTATCTGAACCCTGAAAATGTCCTTGTTTGCGCTAATCTTAACTTACTCTTCAGTGGCCAACAAATTCATCATCCTAAACGGATTAATGTCAGTAAATTGGCAGCAAGTTCATTGTGAGTGGAACAATCTGTGAGAATGACGGTGTGCCAATCACTAACATTTATCAGCATCCTGGATGATGGGCAGTTCATGTGGTATGCTGCTCCGTAAACATCGATCAGACTGTCCTGCTCTCCATGGCCGGTGATGACGACTGATCCACTAAATGAAACGGAAGTCCTCAAGGAACTCCAACTCTTGAAGAGCTATAAATCACCAGGCCTAGATGACTTACCTCCGGCCCTTTTTAAAGATGGTGGTGACTTTCTGACTAAGGAACTGACGACGTTGTTTACAAAGGTCTAGGGTACTAGAGAGTGTTCCAACGTCATGGAATGACTCAATAGTTGTCCCTATCTTTAAAAAGGGTTCACGTCGTTTCTGTAACAACTCTCGGGTGATAAGTCTACTTCCGATTGCATCCAAACTATTGGCTTATGTCATACTTCGTAGGTTGTTCAAAACCCGAGAAAGATTAACTCGCGAAGAGCAGACTGGTTTTCGTTCTGGTCGAGGATGTATCGATCATAACTTCACCCTCCGTCAAATGTTAGAACACCGTCATACTTATCACAGGCCAACAATCGTAGTGTTTTTTGACATCAGGGCTGCCTTCGATTCGTTGGACAGGATTGTTCTCAGGGATTGTCTATTGAAGAAGGGTGTGTCTGAGAAGTTTATTAACATCCTAAAAGCCCTATATACAAACACCTCGGGCAGAGTGAGGGCATACAACTGTTCGAGTGATCCAGAAAATTTCTTCCAAAAGACAAGCAAGGATCAGGAAACACTAAGAAGCGTCTCATCCGATCGGCGTTCACTTGAAGTTTTAGCCAAAAATATCAAGGAAGTGAAACGTCACATGTAGATGTTCTGATTGGCTGATTGCTATACTGCTACTATGTTTAGTAGCATTGCAGAATCTTCGAGCAACCCAAGGACATTTAAAAATAATATAAAAACCCTATATTTTCTGTGTTAAAATGAACCTTGGAGTAAAGTACGCCTCACATATTTTGCGTCTTCTCTCTCGTTGTTCAGGTCGCTGTATAGTTCTAGCTTGGGGGTGACAGAATAGCTTAGGAAACGAATATAGCTTTCAATTTGCAAGACTTATCAACAACCACCTCTCTCCATTGTTCTATTCAATCAGTGGGGTTAGACAGGGTTGCCCAATCTCACCACTCCTCTTCAACTTCACCATCGATGACATTCTGGAAACAGCTCTGAAAGACGTAAGTAATGGCGATGTGGACCTGCTGCCTGGTGAAATGCTTCTCAACCTTGAGTATGCGGATGATACTGTCTTACTGTGCGATAATGCCCAAGCCATGCAACCCACACTTAATCACTTGGCAATCAGTGTCCGTAGGTACGGTATGTACTTTGCACCTTCCAAGTGCAAATTACTTCTACAAGACTAGCAGGATTCTAATCCTATACTCACCCTGGGTGGTGAGCAGATTGAAGTAGTCGAGAAGTTCGTGTATCTAGGTGGTAGCTGCATAAGTGCTGGTGGTGGCGTGAGTGATGAGATCGATGCACGTATAGTGAAAGTCGAAGGGGCTTATGCAAATCTGGGACATCTTTGGCGCCTTCGTGATGTCAGTCTGGCAGTAAAAGTTCGGATCTAGAACGCGTCGATGAGAGCAGGTCTTCTCTACGCTTGTGAAACATGGCCTCTCCGAGTTGTGGATGTTAGACGACTCTCTGTGTTTGATCACCGCTGTTTCCGAAACATTGCTGACATCCAGTGGGAACACCATGCTAGTAATGCAGAGGTTTGGCATCGTGTGTTCGGGCACAGAGACGATAATCCAATCGGTGTCACCATCTTGGAACATGTTCTACGAATGTCCTCGCAGAGAAGTCCACGTCGTGCATTATTTGCCGATTCTGGGACTGGTTGGAAGAAGCGGAGAGGTGGTTATTGTATGACATGGTGTCGTGGTATGCAAGAAAGCTGCAAAGGGTTGGCTTGTGTAGGTCTTTCTAGACTCCCTGGTTGGAGTCCTAGAGATGGTGCAACAGTGGCTAGAGACGTTATCAGATATGGCTCAGAATAGAAGCCAGTGGCGATCCTGATGTAACCTTTTACATTTCTCATAAAAAGTGGTTGTATCTTAACTGAAAGATTTCTTCTGGTTGTACCTTTCCGTTTCCCTTATTATTAGTACACTACCTTACACTAATCTGTGTTCGTTATTGTTCCTCACCTTCTCATATGCACCTTACACTCTTTTTGTCTTCACATTCTCATTGTTATTGTGTGGCAGATATGTATCCGGTGCCCCTCTCTACCAATATTTAATTGTTCAAATAAATAAATAATGCTTTACCAAATTGAAATTAACAACTGTATGTTTTTTCTTTTTTTAAGCTGAACTGTTTACTTTTACAGTATATTCGAGAACCTACGATTCTAGGTAAATTTTTTATACTGAGATATGTGTGAGTTCGAGGATATAAACAACCTGTTAGGACACTAAAATACATAACGATACGAACATTTATTGACAAAAAAGATAAATTCGCTTAACTTTAACATCATAGCAAATTAGATGAGTCACTGAGTTATATGACAATCTTGTTTTTAGACTAAAAAAACAGTTCATTCGTAAACTCAATTGAACTCAGTACCAATATCAGGGCGTTATGGCAAACACGTTATTCATTAATTACAGGCACACTTACAAAAACCAGTTATATAAAACTGTACTCAGTGTAAAATGTAAACCTTGCCCATTTAAGAAACATGGGATATATATATGAAGAATATATGAGTTTATACTTTAACAGTTGTATTTCGGTAGTAGAATATATTGAACTCAATGCAAAAAATAAGATAATGATAAAAAGAACAACGATGACAATAAGCTAGTGTTACAATGACAAAACATAAATTATATATATGTAGACGTGGAGTGCCTCCTACAATTACGATACGACGGGAGAAATAAACTAATACTTGTACACAATAGCTTGTCTATATGACTAAATGAAATAGTCAGAAAAGAAAACAATACGTGTAACTATCAAATAGATCTAATCAGTTAATTATTTCTATTTTTGCAATAGTCAAGTAAAAACTTGAATGGGAGGCGGATGACAGGAAGACAGCGTACAGTTTAATAATACATCAGGCAATATCTGAGTGGTATTCCATGTCAGCATATCACAATACAGCTTCGTTTATATCAATATATGAGATGTTGAGCTTGTTATGGTATATATAATATATATGATACACCACCATGGTGTGAGCGTGCATAAATCTATACACACAAAATGGTGATGGTTTCTTCTTTAGAATATCAGATCCAATACTTGGTTTTTAAACGTCTCCACAGGACAGTAAGGACATTTCATTCGACTGTTAAGTAAAGAAAATTTTTTTATAGTAGCTATAAAACTAATAACAGAAAGCATTTAGTATTACAAGTAAGAATAGCTACCTAGAAAAATAAACATCAATAAAATTTCTAGATAACATATAGTACCATATCGATATTGAAAGCACTAGTAGAAAGTTAAGATATCAAATCTTAAGATGATTCAGTGTATAAAATGGACTATCATTTTTGAATTCTAGTGATAATAAAAAATTAAAATGTAGTTACATTTTCTGAAGGAGTATTAAAAGTCCCGAAGTAGAATCTGTCTGAGTAACAGCTACAACAAGAAAAACTTATATGTAATAACTATATAACTATAGTTAATTTGCTTAATAAAAAAAGATGGTTAGTAGACTAAGGGATGTTGAAGACAACTGAAAATGTTAGTTCGTATATAAAGAAAGTGTTCATTGACACCAACTTAAAGGTTACGTTGTTTGGTGCTTGGGACATCGTATGTTTTCTTGACAAATTTAAAAACATGTGCCCGTATTTATCGGCTCAGAAAAACAGTTTCTCGATTCAGCTCATATGCCGAAATAGCAAAAATATCAAGGCATTTGATACATTGAATCAATTAGAACTTGGACAACTGATATGTATATATACGCCGACTCGGTTGATCAATAAACTCCTCACTCTTAGGTTTTCCACTCAAGGTGACGATGCTCGTGTATAACAACAGAAAGACTACATGACAGTATTTTAGAAGAATAAAAGGATCTTTAATTAATCTCGCAAACGTTACAGATGAAGAGGCTGAACTCAAACAACACATTTAAAGCATGGACTTAACAGCCAGAAGAGTGATTTAGAAAAGTTTTTGGTGTGAGAAGGCTGTATTTAAGTGTATTTCACAGCCTGATAAATAGTGAGGGTCAGTAAGATAGACCGAGCTTTACATTCCTTAAACTTTAGACAAACATGTAAAGTCTACAAATCTAATAATGTAATTGAGGTAGCGATAATACAATTACGGGAAACAGTCAGTTCCCAGCACACTTGCGGTAGAAAGCAATAGCACACTCATCACTAGGTATACAATGAAATTGTATCCGATAACATATGAACCCAATGGTCATTAAGATTTTCGTAACTCCATTTAGAGATTGATGGTATATAGACCTAGATTACTGTAACTCAGAAGTTCTTCATTACTGGAATTAAAAAAAACTAAGGCGTGGCACCAGTCCACGAACTCGTCGACTGTTCGTTTAAACATGTTGGCAGATGCAGACTACCTTGTTGGGGTCCATGCGGCAAACCCAATAAGCGGTTGGTGACATTGGGTGACATCGCTCAGAATTGGTCACAGTGACACATATGTACTCATTCTTTATCTTTCTCTAGATCTGGGGTTCCCGTAATCCTTTATACATAGTTTTTCATTCCTTTTTTTCGAACCACAATTTAGTGCTTAGTTTTCTCATTGTTACAGCAAGGTTCCAACTCATTTGCTGCTTATTTTATAGATTTTACTTCGCCATGTCAATGTGTTACGGTAACTTCAGATAACCATATAGTTGTTTTTAGCTCTAGGCTGATTATGGCTGATCGACATTTTACTCTACTTTGAGCTTGAGTGGACAGTACTCCATATGGAATGCTTTACGCAGAAATATGTAAAAAAGTTCGTAGATTAAGGGAACTAACTTATTCGAATGACTTCTTTAACTACATAGCAGTAAACATTATACAAAAACGTACGCTACTAGTCGTCCTATTTGCTTAAATAGCGCTGATATCAAGCATAAATATAGTATTAATAAATCAGTGATTATTGAATAAAAAATATGCTTGGACGGAAGTTCTATAAGCTTATAATGGAAATAATTGAATACAAACATTGTAACTAGAATTTTTCATGGACAGTCTAAAATCAGAGGTTACTCAATTATTTGCTGTACAAAGGAATTTTGATTAGATACAACTGATATTTGTGGTTATTAGCGAAACACGCCTAGAAGACCAATATTTTTTCTAGATCCAAAGTTCTACTATTCAGTGTTTTCGTTACGGTCGCCGATGAACAACAAAAGTTGAACCTTAAAGTGAGGATGTGATTTCGAGTTATGGTTTATTCTAAAAGACTAAATTTAATAGAGAAAAAAGCAGGGTTTGGGATTCTTAACGACTAATCCAAACATTTTTTAATCTTTTAATGTTACCAAAATCCCATAATAATAAGAGAAATTAGCTTTCTTATAATATATTTTAAAAAATCTTGGTTAGATTTCTAAAACTATACTGTACAGATAGAAAAATGGAATAAAATGTCTAACCTTCTATCTCCACTAGCCAAAGAGTTGAATGCATCTCGTGATATCGCATGACCACACGTTAAGCGTACAGGGCCACCTCCAATAGCGCCATCATTCGACTCAGAGATTACTTCTTTGATAACAGGACAGTGGAAGATATTATGGCGGTGTGCGCTGGGATCCAGTTTAACAGCAATCTGTGACAAGCAAACATGGCATGTTAACTGATTTAAACAGAGCATGGGTATTTTAGAATATTCCAGATAGTGCACAGTATATATTTTCAGATACTAGAATGCAAATATTTTTGTGTTTTTTTTACATAAATAGTGAGGTTTAGGAATCCGACAAAAACACAAAGTATAAGTTAAGATGACACAAAGGTGTAGTGTATCGTATAATTAGGGATTGATGAAAAACAAACATTTTGCAGATTTTATTAAATCACGCTTCAGTGGATAGACAGATCAACATTTAGTATTTAGTTTCAACTGTAACTAACTGATAAAACCAGAAAAAAAATTACAAACGTGTTAATACCAAAAGAATAATTCTCATGACTTCATTTATTTATTTGAACAACATAGAAGTTTAGCGCAACAAAGTAGTCGAAATAAACGTGACAACAATAAATGTGAAATTTTTATTGACCTATAACAGGAGAAAAACTCAGATTTCAGTTTTCATTACAAAAAAATCATGTAACTTTTCACTTATTGACGAACTAATGCATGAGACGATGAAAAACTAAAGAACAATCATTTACTGCATATCATAACGACTATAACAACCTGAATGCCCTTCATTTGAAGAAGCCTAGTGTGGAAGCATATTATTATTACTAATGGTTTTATCTAATATTAAATGTCCAGTACAATTTGGGATTCTCAGCACGAAGTATTTTGACAAGTTTATTTCATAAAATAGGAAAGAAGGAAAAATCGATAACTATACACATGAATTCAGTAAATAAACTATGTGATATCAAGTGAAGTGTTTTTAATAAGAATGTGTACAACTATTAATTAGAAACATGCTTAAGAATACAAGTTATTGACTAGGTCAGCACTTACAATCTGTTTGTCGTATAGTATATTTATTAGATAAGGTACTGCAGTTTTTATACCATTGCTGGAAAGCATAGATTTCAATGTACTGACGTTTCGTACTATCAGAAGATATACAAGGAGAAAGATGTGAATGAAGTGGATTGTTAATATCTGATAAAATAACATTTGCCAGGGGTTCGCAAGATTTTAAATCTCTAACCAGTCATATTCATAATGACCTTAAAAGATTCACCATAACCTGCTAAACGCATTCAGCCGTCTCCTTAATACACCAAAATCTTTTCTCAAAAGCTCGAGAGGGAATAAAAAGGGTGAGTAAAAAACAATAGGTAATATACATGAATTTAAATAATAAAAGTAAATATTGAGTAGTGCCAAATGCATGTAACCTCTTTATATAATAGTCAGTCAGTCAGTCAGCTACAACGTAGGACCAGGCACATATGTGCATCGGTCCAGGTTGCCATACTTCATTAGCACAGCAAGATGAACACCGGATTCATAGGAGTGGTTAGGTCAAAGGTTGCAATAAGGATATAGTATAGGAAGAAAGAATTAGTTCGTAGAAAGAAAGATATGAAGCAATTTTAATCTCTTAGTTTAAGGGAAGACAGGGAGTGTATACACTGACGCCATTGTGATCGATTCTGAGCCATGTCACCAAGAGTCTCCAACCATTGGTTACGAAAGTCACGCGGACCTCAACCAAGTAGTCTGCATCTACCAACATGGCTCAGACTAGAAGTTAGTGACTTCAGGCATTGATGCCACGTTTTGGTTTGGCCGCCCCTAACTTTCTCCAACCATCTCCAATACCGGATAGCATTGCACGTCGTGGTAATCGGTATTCAGGCATACGTAACACGTGGCCCAACCATCTCAGTCGATGAAGATTCATAACCTCATCAACTGATTTACCATCATTCCCTAATACCCTGCGTCTAACCTCACTATTACTTATCCGGTGATCCCAGCAGACGCCATCAATATTTCTGAGGCATCTGTGGTCAAATACTAGTAGCTTACGAGTGTCTTCCACTCTTAAAGGCCATGTTTCGCTGCCGTAAAGTAAGACAGAACGGACTGCCGCGCAGTATACTCGTCCTTTTATTGATAGACGGATATCTCGCCTCCGCCAAAGGTGACGTAAGTTGGCAAAAGCCAAGCGAGCTTTTCGAATCCGTGCTGAGATTTCGTCAGACACCAACCCATTAGGGCTGATCAGACTTCCAAGATAAGTGAAGTTGTCGACGCGTTCGACTACTTCACTCCCTATCCTTAGTTCAGGTGTTGACGCAGACCAGTCCTGAAGCAACAACTTGCATTTAGAGGGAGAGAAGCGCATCCCAAACATTCTGGCATTGTTGCTTAGTGCTACCAGAAGACTCTGCATTTTGTCAGCGTCTTCACCAAACAGGACTATGTCATCTGCGTATTCTAAGTCGATAAGTGGACCTCCTGGAAGGAGATCAATACCCGAGAATTCAGTCGACGAGAGTGTTATTTCCATCAATAGGTCTATGATGAAGTTAAACAAAAATGGAGAAAGCGGACAGCCTTGACGGACACCACTTGAAGTTGCAAAAGTAGATGACAGTTCGCCATAAGCTCTGACTCGACTGGTAGTGTTCGAGTAAAGAGCCTTCACAAGGTTTATGTACTTCTGGGGTACGCCTTTCAATGACAGACACTGCCACAGAGTCTCGCGGTCTACAGAATCAAATGCTGCTTTTAAGTCAAGAAAGACCACCATCGTCGGACGCCGATAGGTATGCCTGTGTTCTAGAACCTGACGAATGGTGAATATGTGGTCGATGCAGCCACGACCAGGTCTAAAGCCAGCTTGGTTCTCTCGAGTTTGTAGTTCACGAGTCTTAGTTAGGCGTTTGATAATTATCGAGGCCAGTATTTTAGATACTATGTTTGTTAAACTAATCCCTCTGTGGTTGTCACAGGATGATTTTGACCCTTTCTTATATATTGGGACGATAAGTGATTGCGACCAGTCAGATGGGATAAAGTCTAATTCCCAGATCTTAGCTAAAATATTAGTCAACCTAATCGCTAAAATTGGGCCACCATCCTTAAAGACCTCTGGAGCCAATCCATCTGGACCAGCTGCCCTTCCTCGTTTCAGATTAACTATAGCCTTTTGAACTTCAGCAAGAGTTGGGGGACCTACTTCAATGTTCCATTCACACTGTCTGGGAATAGAGGGTAGTTGTACAGTAGCTGAAGGCCAGCTGAACTGTTCTCTAAAATGTTCCGCCCATCGCTCTAAACGCCTGGACTGGGAGCAGATGAGAGTATCATCTTTTTCCGAAATAATCTCACTTACACTTGACTTATTAATTCCAGTTTCTTTTATTAGTCTGTAAAGCTGTCTTGTGTTCCCTATAGTCGCCGCCTTTTCCATCTCTTTTGCCTTCGTTACCCACCACTGCTCACGGTCGTTCCTTAGACTTTTTCTTAACCTAGATCTGATTTGTTTTCGCTCTTCATCATGTTCAGAACCTGATGGGACGAGTTTACGAGAATCCATCAGTGTGACAGACCTTGAAGAAATCCACTGGTTCCTTGCAACTCTGTGGTTTAAGTCACTAATAGATGTCACTGCTGTTTCCACAGCTGATTGTATGCCCTTCCAAGCAACATCTGGGTCAGCCTCGTCTTCACAACTACCTAAGTGTGACCTCAGTTGTTCCTGGAACCTACTTTTGATTTTCTCGTTAATCAACTCAGTTCTGACGGGTCTTTTTAATGTGGCTTTTTTGCGTCCAGTGAGGCGCAAGCAGATGCGTGCCCGTATTAGGGTATGGTCGGAGTCCAAGCAGGTACTCCAGAATGAGCGACAATCTTCTACCGACCCTCTCCAACGATGACTGATGGCAATATGGTCTATTTGAGTCCATCGTTGGTTTGGTGTAGGGGGTCGCCATGTTAGACGATGTCTCTCCTTATGCTTAAAATTTGTGTTTGCTAAAAATAAACGATTGTCTGAGCATAGCTGCAGCAGACGATCACCATTATCTGTTCGCTGTGTCGGAACACTGAAATATCCACCTAAATGCCTTTCTGTTTGGTTTAAGCTACCTATCTGAGCATTAAAATCACCTGCTACGAGTACTATGTCTGAGCGTTTAGCTTTCTGAAGAAGTTCGGACAGCTTTCTGTAAAATTCATCTTTCACTTCATCTGAGCTGCAGTCAGTGGGAGCGTAGGCAGAAACGACAAAAAGGCAACGACGTGTGTCCCTATCCTTCCGAGTTCTTACGTAGCCGTTCAGCCGAACGGCACATAAACGACTGTTGACGGGGATCCACTCTAGCAGTGTTTGTTCCGCCCTCATGCTTAGTGCTATGCCTACACCTGCCAGTCCACGAGAAATTGCCATCGGGTCACCAGATACACGAAGGGTGTATCTTGTTGGCTCTCCGTTTTGCCGAGGTGAGGTCAAGTGAATAACCACACTGGAATCCTGTATGCGTGTTTCGGAGACACAGCATACATCAATGGAAAGAGACTCTAGGGTTTTAGCCAAGGAAGCCTGCTGACCGATTTGACATAGGGTGCGTACGTTGAAGGCTCCAATGTGTAGTTTGGAGCGAGGTTTCAGTAGACCTGGGACAGTGTTTTGCGCACTAGAATCGTTGGCTATGGTGACACTTGAGGTGGAAGCCGAGAGAGGAAATTTAAAGTTGAAAGTCGATGTAGGAGGAATAATAGGAATTGAAGAGGGAGGTTGATTATGAATACAGTGGTCTTGGGTGCTGTTAGAGGTATGAGGGCGGTTATCACTTCCCGGTTGCCCACACCGTGGAAGGGTTCTTCTGGAGGTACCTGAAAAGGAAATTGGATTAAAGGTGGTCTTAGTGACCTGAGAGCGTGACCGCAGTGCCCAAGGGACAACTGCTTGAGGCCGGTCGCGCACGGCCTTTTCGTAGGAGGTTTTTGACGTGTTAGCTCCGTTCTTCAAAGGGCCTTACCGCCGGAGACGGAAATCCGTGAGGTAAGGTGAGGTGTGCATTTTTAGGGTCGACCTTTTCTAACCCCACCCCTCCTTGTGGGAAGGCAGCATCGCTGTCATGCTGGTTGTCTGAAGGAAACACCTTACTGCTGTCACACCTCTGTACAGTCAGCAGTACGACTTCGCCTTCGGACCTTGGGTTTGTTGCTTTTAGTCTTACCGCTCTTCAACCGACCTGTCTGACATGGTAGGACCTTGAGGAACGGTTGTTCCAGCCAGTATAGCTCGGTTGCTTCATCACGATAGGCAAGCCCGACCACCACGTCAAGGTAGCAACAACGGTCGGGCTTTATATAATAAGTCAGACGGAAAGCTCTTTTGCATATCAATAAAACATGAGAAGATCAAGAAATTTACTCACCTACGCCAGTTACCCCTAGTGGAGCAAAGGCCGTAGACTATGATTCTCCAAGAGAAGTCAGAAAGAAAAATTACACCAAGACAAATAACCTTGAACACCCTTCTTATTACAGAATCTTCAGTAATACAAACTTCATGGGATTCCAGCACAGTGCTTAAGTGCTGTTGATAGCAGTACAGTTACCTCACAATTGATAGTGATTTTAGTGTACATGAGACTTGATATCAGTAACCGATATGACTAACCTTGAGGTCAAACAAAAAGCTTTTCTGTAAAACAGGATGGTATATTCGGTGAAGCGATTGATAAATTGATTCGATTACGATTACATTGCGTAAACATGTTTAGCACCAATGTTGGCTACAGTAAGAACGTGGCGATTAAATTGAGGTTAGAACAAAAGTCAATTACGGTACTGACTGTATTTACTATGTAGAATTATCTGAACAATCTACTTAACCGAAAGAATTCAGTCAGTCAGTCAGCTACAACGTAGGACCAGGCACATTTATGCATCGGTCCAGGTTGCCATACTTCATTAACACAACAAGATGGACACCGGATTCATAAAAGTAGTTAATCCAGAGGTGGTAATATATAAAAGAAAGATTGCAATAAGGATATAGTATAGGAAGAAAGAATTAGTTCGTAGAAAGAAAGATAGGAAGCAATTTTAATCTCTTAGTTTAAGGGAAGACAGGGAGTGTATACACTGACGCCACTGTGATCGATTCTGAGCCATGTCACCAAGAGTCTCCAACCATTGGTTACGAAAGTCACGCGGACCTCAACCAAGTAGTCTGCATCTACCAACATGGCTCAGACTAGAAGTTAGTGACTTCAAACACTGATGCCAAGTTTTGGTTTGGCCGCCCCTAACTTTCTCCAACCATCTCCAATACCGGATAGCATTGCACGTCGTGGTAATCGGTATTCAGGCATACGTAACACGTGGCCCAACCATCTCAGTCGATGAAGATTCATAACCTCATCAACTGATTTACCATCATTCCCTAATACCCTGCGTCTAACCTCACTATTACTTATCCGGTGATCCCAGCAGACGCCATCAATATTTCTGAGGCATCTGTGGTCAAATACTAGTAGCTTACGAGTGTCTTCTACTCTTAATGCCCATGTTTCGCTGCCGTAAATTAACACAGAACGGACTGCCGCGCAATATACTCGTCCTTTTATTGATAGACGGATATCTTGCCTTCGCCATAGGTGACGTAAGTTGGCAAAAGCCAAGCGAGCTTTTCGAATCTGTGCTGAGATTTCGTCAGACACCAACCCATTAGGGCTGATCAGACTTCCAAGATAAGTGTTGTCGACGCGTTCGACTACTACTACAGTTCGAAAGGTCAACTTTTTGAACCTATTGTGAAACTTTGGTTGATTTTTAAATTTTGATAACATATCGGTTTCAGATGTTTTACCATAATGTTAGGTTTAAAATCATTAGAGAATTAAGTTACATAATCACTATGTGCAAACTCACTGGTAACATGTCACCATCCAATGAACTGTACTTACTGAGGCAAGCGATTGCACGTTGTAACGAATGAAGCCGAGTAAGTACACGACATCCGGAGGAAAATGCAGTGAGTAGTGGATCAGTATCTGATAAATTTAAGTGATAACAACATGAAGCCTTAAACAAATTTGCCGCTTCTGTCAAAGCATTGCTACCATCTGTTTTGTGTTTAGTTGTTACAGGTGACACTGAGAGAGAATATTCACCATCCATCATAAAAACATCTTCAGAAGTTTTATTTACTTGGGAGCTTTCAGAAGACATTTTTGTGGGGCTGGTTGGCAAGGCCAAGTCAGCATACGGAGTATCCTCAAGACTACGTCCAATAAAAACAAGACTCCCCATAAGATGTTCAAAATCTACAAATAGATAATTCACAAATTGTTTTACGAATTCATTATATATCAAAATTATATTTACGAATGTTTTGGCCTTACAATCATTAACAGAATGAATTACTGAAAAGCAGAGTACTTTAAAAACTATAAGCAAAGATGGATAGTGGCTAGCAGTGGAATCCAGGACGAGCGTTTCGTCCTGTCTGGGACTCGAACTCAGTACCGTTCACTTCAAACGCCATCGCATTATCCAGAGTGAACATCAACTCTGAGATGCAGGTACATCCAGCTAATGAGTCCCAAACAGGACGAAACGCGCGTCCTGGATTCCACTGCTAGCCACTATCCATCTTTGCTTATAATGCTTGTAAATTAAGGCAATATCGAGGCATACGCACAGTATGCACATATGCCAATAAGAGACTGATCAATTTCAGTCCTAAAACATCAATGGGAAGGTTCAAATAAAACAATACCAAGTGAATTACTTTAAAAACGGTTTGACATAAGAGCTGAAGAAAATATAAACTAGGTTTGACACAACAATCTAAATACTTCAAATATGTTTGTATAAATATAGCGAATATAGAACAAATCCCGTACTTCTATCCAGTTGTCTACGGTTAGTTACACCATTCATAGACTTCTTCAAATATACGCGAGAAATGTTGTTACAGCTGATAATGGTGATAATAATGGATCAATTTCTCATAACGTCCGTAGACAATAAACGTTAACAACTAACCAGATAAAACGGGAGCAAAATGTCACCTATGATCTCCGCACTTTGTTAAACTCATCAATCTAAGCTCATTTTTGTTGTTGAATATTAAAAATCGCTAGGTTTGTTCCTTGCAAACACATTTGGAGATGGTGATGCTTCAAAAAGTCATCAAATTAAAGTTTGTGAGTTTACGATACAAAATGAAGAATAAGTAGAGAGTTCTACGCAATTATGAATAAGCCACGTTGCTCAACCTACAATACTTGTGATACCTACAAGGTAATTAAAGTAACCCATTGTGTCACAGAATTTAAATAAGAATTCAGAGAGGAAAATTTTCGACGAAATCATTAAGTTGTACGTTTGTATTTATAGTTGTTTGGTAATTCCGACCCATAAATTATTTTCATACTCGCAGTCCTATCTAACCCCCTTGGTTATTACGCAACCCCTTTTGATATGAAATCTCGAATCACTTTATGATGTAATCTATTTTTTTATGGACCAATATATTTACTAAACAATTATAAATACGAATTTACAGCTTAAGTAATTAACTTCGTCAAAAATTTTCCTCGTTGAATTCACTTTATTTTATGACATCTACAAGATGTTTGCCAACTGACTATTATTATTATTATTTTAACAGATAGATATTGGTACAAGAAGGCATTAAATACATATGCGCTACGTAAGTCTCGTTCGATATGTGTGAGGGCTGTGGTACTGCCCGGGTGCCCAAACCGAAGCAGGTGGTTTTGTTAGGGGGCCACTCCCTGAGACTTCGACCTGAAGGTCTGACCCACAAGGCAGTGGAGCATCGTGAGGAGATGCAGTCCCATGGAAGCCGGTGACCAACAATTGGTTCATACGCCATTTGTTCCCGCAGGATACTGGAGCCCATGTGTACCATTGGTTTGGAATCCGGTTAAAGCGCCGGACATTCGCATTTTGTCCTCTCATTTTCGTAAACAACATCCCCGCCACGAGAAGGCAGTGAGTAGGACTTCCCTGGCAGAGGCTATATACGCGTGGTCATTTGAGAGCATTTGGAGAGGGAGAGCGGACTCTCCCCACTCTCGGCCGTACCAGGGCATTTGGTGGCTGACTAAGGTTAGTATATGGTACTAATGAGCCCATACAGTACGATAGCAATCAGTGTTTCGTTGTCAGATAACGGCATTACGATCTCAACCTTAATTTGTCTCGGTTTTGTGATTTCCTTCAAGGTACATACAGACACGAAGATCATTAGTTTATATACTTGACATAACTGAACATGATATGATGGGCATTTTCTCAAATGTGGTTATCATAACGTGTCTTAGAGCAGACAGTTGATTATCATCCTTTCAGACTATCTACTCAATTTAACAACTTGGCTTTATCTACAAATCCGAATTGACATTTCTAATGAGACGCTTTATGGATGGAATTCTAGCCGTGAATCATATGTTGCGTAGCCCTAACCACTTCGGTTGTGAGACCAAACATATCCCCCATAACTGGAGAGTATAGATAGTATTTAAAGAACAAAAGTAACTAAATTAGTATGTGCAGACTGTTAGAGATGTTTAACTGGTTTTTTAAGTGGGGATTTAGAAATCAGAGGGATAATTAATGATTTAATCATTTGAAAGATAATAACCCGAATAAATTTCATCACGTAAATGATAAATCAATAATGGCTGAAAATCAGTGTAGATTTAACAAATCATGAAGATCCTCGTAGTAGTTCGTCTACGAGACGCTTGATAATTAGTGGCACGCTGTTGCAATACTTCAGGATAATCCCATTTATATTTTTACCGGTGTTTTATGTGAATCTAATACAACTGATATTTTCAAATCAAAATAATGAGTAAACGGTATGCGTATTAAATAAATTGCCAATACCACTAGGTAATAAAATTGACTTTCTACTCTAATGATCAACTTGTTATCAGAAAGAGACAAATGATCAAAACAATAAGATAATCTGATGAAGTATAGGGAGATACATAATGTGATCGACAACAATTCTTTTTTATCTAAATTAATACTTCGATGAAATCAAAAACTCATATGACAATGACAAACTTTCTAAATACCTGAAGAGTAATCAGATGCAAAAGGAACCAGCTGACGAGCACTTTGAATCACAGCGGCTGGATCCACAGGTTCTTTTTGTATTGTCGACAAAAAATCAAGTTTGGCTAGACAATATTCTAACTGTTTTGCCTTATCTCCAAGTTCCTCTCGATTATTTGATAGCCATCTGTAAAATAAGATAATCAACTCGTTAATAATTTATGTTGCAAAACTTTTATACGATGCTTATATAAAATGTAAGTATGTATATCATGGATAGAGAGTAAAATAGGTTTATGTTTTCGAAATGTGTGTGGCTCGTCAGCATTTATGAAAAATGGATATAGAAAGTATTGTTAAATGAAGCAGCACTTTGTTGTGCGAACCTACTTATACATTCAACATGTTGGTTAAATGATTTCTGGAACAGTCATGTAGATTGTCCTGTAATTGCATGTCAGGAGTAAAATGTGTCAAACGCCTGCAAAATGCATAAGTTTGGCATTAATTGGCAAAATCTCAACTTGAAAGGAGGGGGAAAATCTAACTAACCTTAACCATAAGAATAACATCCAAACATTTACTAACCAAAATAAATAGACCAAAGGGTTTAATTCAAAAATTATCGAATCAAATGTTTATTGATAAAATAAAGTGAATACAAGACTTTTGTTTACTGGAATATTAACTTTTGTAGATAGGGGCAGATTATCTAATTTTTTATGATTAAACGAAAAGCAAATAAAAATTGTGATTTTTATTTGTACATCATGGCTTTATTGTGTCACTTTGTTCACTAACAACATAGAGCACAAAACTTGATGCAGCAGATGAACGAGAAAATGAGTTAGAATATTGTTATAGCAATGAGAATAACTAAGCATTAAAAGTGTGGTTCGAAAAACAAGGAATGAAAAGGTATGTGTGGAGGATTATAGGAACTCAATATCTAGAGTACATATGTGTCACTGTGACCAATTCTGAGCGATGTCACCCAATGTCGCCAACCGCTGATTGGGTTTACCGCATGGACCCCAACATGGTAGTCCATATCGTCCAACACGTTTAAAATGAACAGTCGACGAGTTCGTGGACTGGTGCCACGCTTTATTTCGGTCACCTCCATATTCTTCTTAACCTACTTCTGCACCAGCTAACATCTCCCGTCGAGGTAGGCCGTGGTTAGGCATACGAAATCTATGTCCAAACCAGCCTAGTCGATGAATATTTGATACTTAATCAACCGATTATGTATCCTTACTAAGTAACATGTGCTTAACCTCAACATTTATCACTTGGTGGTCCCAGCATATACGATCGATGCTTAGAAGGATTCCATGATTAAATACTAGTAACCTACATATATGCTTTAAGCTCAGACTCAGCCAACAGTTTCAAGGTAAGCAACCTTCAAAGGACCAGTTTACGTTCAGTTGTCACAATCTGGTTAGTATTTCAGTCAATTTAAGTACGACTCTAAAACATCATTCGAAAAGACCTCTGGATTCAAATGACCAAATCTTGCTACCCTTCCCCGCTTTATCTTTGATATGTCTTTTCCCATTTCACCAAGAATCAGGAGAATTCTCATGATTTCCAATCCAGGTTTTTTGATAATAATATGTAATCGGAAGATTGCTACAACACAGCTGAATCATCCTTCAAACCGTTCTACCCATCGTTCCAATCTTCAGAATTGAGAATGAATAACTGTTCCGTGTGCTTCTGAGATATTCTCATTAACACCACACTCCTACATACTTGTTTTCTCTAAGAGTCGTAACAGTTGTCTAGTGTTACCCACAGTCAGTTTTCCCCACATATTTTGCTACTGCTGATCACCATCGCTCACAATCATTGTTCGAACTTCCTATTAGTCTGTATTTCAATTGCCATCCTCATCGTTCTGCCAGTTTGTCAAGATGAGTTTTGTAACAGCTATCAATTCAGTAGATGGCATCGAAGTCCACTGGTGCTTCTTAACCTTTTCATTTAAGTCAGTGACCAATATCACTGATGCATTTGCAGCAGTTTGGATATCATATCAAACTTCACTTTGTCAGAATGTTTTTCTCCATGATCGACTGAGTGCTGAATTGATTCTCCCCTAAATGGACTCTTGACCTTCCCACTTTGAATTAAGACTTAACCGGTCTGCCTGTTGCAGCTCTTCTGTGCCCAGTAAGACGTGGGCAAACGCGTACTCCTATTGGTACAGCATGATCATAGTCCAAGCATGTGCTACTTAACAAGGTGTGGTAGTCTGTTACCAAGTATCTCAAGCAGTGAGTGATGGAAGTATGCTTTGTTTATGTCCACCGTTGTGTAGACGTCGGGGGCCGGCAGACTAAACAATACCTCTTTTTCTGTTTGACGTTTATGTTTGCTAGGAATAAGCAGTTATGTGAAGGTAATTTCAGGAGACAACCACTGTTACCTGCTTGTTAATCTAGAAAACAAAAATAGCAACATATTTTTCTTTAATTTGTTTTCAAATTCAGTGTTATATCAACACCGACAAGGTCACGAGAAATTCCGGTTGACTTTTCAGATACACGGAGAGCAAATAGCTTTGGCTTATCATGGTAGTTAGGCGACGTGAGGTTTGTGCCTTGGATTTAATTATTAGACGATTAACAAGGTCAAAATTAATATAATTATTGACTATCACCACGAAAGATGATGAAACTGTACTGTTATCGTTGGCCAGTATTGTCTCAGTATTGAGGTGAACAAAAAACACATTTATAATATACTGATATATCTTTTAATATAAGTTGGTAGACAACTCATGAGAACTAAAGCTGACAATATTCTTTACGATCTTCAATTTTGAAAGCATGTCAATTAATTTTTAAACAGTGAAGTGTATTTTCACCATATTCTTTGTTTAAAAAGCATTAATGTAGCGAAGTAAAACATATGACTGGAAAGTTATATGCTACCAAATGGGTCTTTGAAATGCTGAGTACCACTGTTTTGGTTTTGCAAAAGAGTCTGATACTTTGTTCAGACTTAACTTATAGTAGGGTTGTGTCCGAAAATCCAAATGGAATGAAAAGCAGATATAAACTGGAGATAAAGTAAATGATTACTTATATGAAAATGATAACGCAAACTATTATTACTTTCTCGCTGGATCTAGCTCTCCTCGTTGTGTAGATGAAACCAGATCACTTAGCTCCTTAAACTTTTCTAATCCTATATCTTCCTGAGTAAAACCGAAATTCTGTAACATTCGAAATAAGTTAAAATGAAAATATTAGTTTGTTAAATAAAGGACAAAAAAGAAAAACGAAGTCATAAATTTGTTTATTTACAAACAGTAATTTGGTAATGTAAAATTCGTAACAGTGAATCAGCTGTGGCAACACCTTGCAACATCATAAGATAAAAATTACCTGGACTTAAAAGGTTCTTAAATAAACAAACATATAAGGACAATCAAGAGAAAATCCATATCCATACATTACTTTGGTGTATCCTCACTTACGGATAGATCTTTTGCCTTTTACTAAAGATTCCCACGGAGAGGCATAATACAATGAATACAATCAGGGGAAAATCCATATGAAAATACTGACTACATTGAGCCATGCGACTGATTCTAAGGTATTTCATCTGAAGTCATAGACTACTGATTTTTAACAATCCGATGACAAAATAAATCAATATTAATTGCCTAAAATAAATAAGACTAATCTGTAAGTGCTACATTTTGATTTATCAATATCTAAGGGTATTTCGAATACTCCCCTCCAAACAGATATTTCGACTGAGAGTAAGTAAAGATCTATGATACACATTACATGTTCCAGTTATCGCAACTACGAATGTTTATAAACTCCCCATGTCAATTAATTTAACTACGACTGAACTCCTTTAGGGTTACTGCTGGTCTCAAGCCTGAGTAGAAAGGGAGAATTGGGTTAGGGTTGAAAATAGCACCTCATAAAAAAACCTCGTTATAATAACGCTAACCAGGGAAAGCCAATTTAACCTACCAAACTCTGGTCTACGAGTCGAAAGGTCTTCATATACAAAAATCATGATGTATCATGTTAAAACAGGGATTCTTCGGAATCCACAAGGTTGTAACCTCTTCTCGTAACCAGGACAATGATAAACATAGGGAATAGAATTCCTAAACGACACGGAAGACTGGGAGGTCCTTCAAATAGCCAGAAAAATGGGAAGAGACAACATAGCTCTACTTGGGATAAATAAAACGCATTGGACACAAGCTGAGCATAACACAAGAACTTCAGGAGAGCTGTTGTTGTATTCTGGTCGTGAAGGAGAAAACAGTCCACATACAAGGAGTTATATTGATGATAACCAAAGAAGCAACAAAAGCACTTATAGGATGAAATATGCACGTCTCAAGGGTCATTAAAGCACCCTCTGAAACAAAGAAGGAAAGGGCTAAAATGAATGTCACCTAGGGCTATGGATATGCTAATAATGATAACGAAGGTGATGGGGACTAGTTTTATAAGTCTACGTTTGAGTTGCCTACGATCCTTAGTGTTCTGGGCCATTTGGGGTGAGTTTACAAGGATCAATCAACTCAATATTTATGATATCTTCACACTCAACCAAACGTTAAAACGCTGACAGATTTATTGGGGATTAACCATTGTTGTTTCTTGATATGAGGGCCGCCTTCGATTTGTTGGAAAGGATTGTTCTCTAAGAGTGTCTGTCGAAGAAGGGTGTTAATCAACATCTTGAAAGCTGTGTAAACAAACATCTTAGGTAGAGTGAGGGCATACAACTATTACTTTCCTTTTGCTATTTTGGTTGTGGAGTTAGCCAGGATTTCCCGATTTCATAATTCCTTCTCAACTTTGCCATAGATGACACTGGAAACAGCCCAGGTGGAAATACGTAGTGGTGGTGTAGATCTGGAGAAAATCTCTCAGGTCTCGAATATGCGTATGGTATTTTCTTACTATGCAATGATAGTGAGGTCACGCGATTTGCACTTAATCAGTTGATAATTAATATCCATGGGTATGGGATGCACTTTGCATCCCCTAAATACAAAGTACTTTTAAACGACGACAGGAGTCTATGTCTACACTTGCTCTTGGTGGTGACAAGTTGTGTTTGACTATCACTGTCTCAAAAGACTGCTGATATCCACTGAAAACTGTTAATAAAACCGAGGTTTTACAACGTATGTTCGGAAGCAATGACGGAAACTTAATCAGTATTACCATCTTGAAGCACAAGCTCTGGTAGCTTGGGAGTGTCATGGGGATCATCCAAGTGACTCCTTAACCGTAAATGATTCGCCGACGCTGGGATAGAGTGGAAGAAAGCTATCAATTTATCACATGGCGTCATGGTACGAACTAAATCTGTCAGTTCATCAGAACTCCCTCGTCGGGGTTGCAGTTTTAGACGTTACCAAGCAGATCAGAGAAGCTAATGATGACCCTGACGTAGTTTTCTTACATCTTTCTTAGAAAAGGAACCCCTTATATGAAAGAATTTTTTCGGTCACATTTTAACTGAAAATACTTCCCCATTCATTTATTTTTATTCATTCGTCTGCTTTGACTGCACTCTTTTCTTCATCTCCTTAGAATTTCATTTTCTTACCTGTGTGGTGCTTTTTTTCGTTTTGGTGCCTAGTTGTGCAAGTGTTTTAAATAAATAATTACATAAATGACTAATATATCGGTAAGTTATGTCGCTAAAACTTACATGCATTAGGTCAACGGCCAGAGATTCGTGGCCTTCACGAAGTAAGTGTTCGATGATAACTAACCGTAAGAGATCATCTGGAGATTTGGATGACAGAGAATCTTTGTATAGCGATGATGTTTTTAATACAGGTTTTATTATAGATTTGGTGGTTTTAGATTCTTTCTTCTCATGATTTGTAAAATAGGTAGTAAGATGAGAAAGTTCGTCAACAAAACTCTGGAAAAATGTAATATCCGAAAAGACGTTTACCTTGTCCACAAGTTTTCCGAATTTCGAAATGGGAAGGTGAATATCACGGTGAGCTTTTATGTAATCTGACAATTTCGACTTTACGGTTGATACAAATAAACTGGTGTGTTGCTTGATATCCGTATCACTATCAGCTACATTTAATATGTAAAGATAGATAAGTTACTTACATAGTTTAGATGTATCCTTATAGAATGAAACACACGTATAGCCCCGAAGTTATGACATATAATCCGGAAAGACATTACTGCACACGATCTCAATTGCTACCTTGACGTGGTGGTTGAGCTTGCCTATTGTGATGACTCGACCGAGTTATAAGGGCTGGAACATGTTTATTTAGGTCCTATTATACCAGGTAGGTAGGCCGAAGGACCATGAAACTAAAATCAGCAACTAAAAGTCTGAGGGCGAAGTCGTGATGCTGACTGCAGGGGAATATGGTAACAGCAAGATTTTCCCCTCGATCAACCAGCATCCGCAGCGATTCTGCCTTTTCACAACGAGAGTTAAGAAATATTGACCTTAAAATGCTACACCTCATTTTAACCCATGGACTTGTCACAGGTAGTAAGACCTTTTGAAGTGGAGCTAACACATTAAACACCGTAAAAAGAACACGCGTGACCGGCCTCAAGCAGTTATTCACTGGGCTTTGTGGTCACGCTTTCATGTTGCTAACACCATCACTAATTCAGCTCCTTTGCGGAAGTTCACAAGGAATCCTTCCACGGTGTGAGTAACTCGGAAGTGGCGACCGCCCTCATACCTCTACCAGCCTGTGAGATCACCTTGTTGACGATCAAATCCCTTGTTTACCTACTAATTATTCTCCCATTCCCACGACTTACCCTCCTCATATATTTTTGTTGCTGTGAGCCACCGGTGCCAATGATTTGATTTCACGAAGTATTATAGCTGGTCTCCTGAAACCATGCTCTAAACTACGCGTTGGAGTTTTTAAAGTTCGAACCTTGTGTCAGATAGGACAAAAGGCTTCTTTACTATGATTCTAAAGTCTCACACCATTGATGTATACTGCATCTCCGAAAAGCGCATACAGAGTTCATGCACAGTCACTCACTTGACCTCAACGTGTAAGTATAAAGAACCGGAGCGATTTACCCTTATTATACCAGAAGATCCCACTGTTACTTCTTGTAACCTTGAAGGTATCGATAAGGGATCAATTTTGAAAGCACAATAGGCCCTGTTAGACAAGATTCCGATAGACAGTCATTTATATGTTGTTCGACTAAACAGAACAATGAGAACTGGAAGAGATCGGGACATATGTGGTTGCCCTTTAGTTGTTTTGCCTACCCTCTCCCAATGATTGCAACTTGGATGAAATTAAAAATGAATTTCGTAAGAAGCCTTCTAACATCTTTCAAAAAGCTAGTCGTCCTAGTGTAATAATAGTAGTGGGAGGTTATTTTTATACTTAGGCAGGTTGACTTAAACAAAGTGAAAGGCACTTGAAGGATCTTACGTGTTGCGGCTCAGCGAACAGACAATGGCGGGCCTTTTACAACTATGTTCAGATAACTTTCTGGCAAACACCAACTCTAAACATAGAAAGCGACATTGTCTGACGTGGCAGACTCGACAATGTCGCTACGTTTACTATTTCTAGTCGTTTAGATCGGTGAGGTATGCTCATGGATTGACTTGCTGATGGACTCCTCTCACGATCTGTAGAGGAGGATATGACTGCCAATGTAATAATTGTTCAACGAACTTTAATTTTATACTGAATAAAATTCATTGGAAATTGAGGATTGTAAACCAAAAACAGTATATTGCCTGCCATACTTATCATTTTATCTATTTGAACACATAAATATTGATACAAAAAGGCACCGAGTACATATGCGCCACACAAGTCACTTGATTTGTGTAAAGGCTATGATACTACCCGGTTGCCCATGCCAAAGCAGGTGGTTTTTATAGGAGGCCACACCCGGAGCCTTTGACCTTAAGGTCTAATCCACAGAGCAGTGGAGCAACGCAAGAGATGCAGTCCTATGGTAGCCGGTGTCCAACGATTGGTTTAAATGCCATTTGTTCCTTTAGGATACTGGAGCCTATGTGTACCATTGGTTTAGAATCAGGGTTTTCCAACTCCCCTATGTGAACCCTCCGTATCCACCAAATTGGTCAAAGCTCCGGACATTCGCTTTCCGTCCATTCAATTTCGTAAACAAGAATAATGCCGCGAGAAGGCAGTGTGTAGGACCTCCCTGCAAGAGGTTGTACACGTGTGGCCATGTGAGAGCAGACTCCACCTTCGAACGAAACACGGCAATTGGAGGCTGGGAAATTGCATGACAATTTAATAAACAAGCGACAAACTGACGAAGGAAATTCTCCATTATTTTCACAATGGTACTTCATTTATGTAGACCTTACTTTCAACTAATACTCTTTATTTTATCAATTTTCTTAATTTCGAGGAATAAGGTTCTGATCACGCAAACTAGGCTAGCAAACTGAATGAAAACAAACAAAAAAGACAAAAAGTGCACTGGATTTTCAGGCAGACAAAAATTCGATTTATTATATCTTGTAAAAATTGTAGAATATGACTTGCCATTTTGAAGTACAGACTGAAGGGATTCTAGTTGTAATTCTAGTAAACTAAACGTTCTCTTTCTGCATTCGTCAAAATTTGATAATTTTTCTTCTATCTTTGACAGTTCACCATCAATGCTTTCCAATTTTGAGGAGCAATTGTCAACTTTACTACACATCGAGAAGCGCCAAGTTCATTCCATCCGCCTTCCAACTTTCAAACTTTGTAGTTTACTCCAAATGGCTGTCGATGAAACAATGGCTTTTGTGTAACTACCTTAAGGTTTTATTGGTAAAGATCCACTGATTTCTCCAGGTTAGAGCCATCTTATGTGGAAATAAGCAGAAGTAAAAGAGTTTCGCAAGGTATTATCAAACTTCCGAGCTTTGCTGGATTGAAACGGCAGGTGGCCGATCTCTCGTGATCTGTTACTGGATTGCAAGAAAAATTCTTTTACTATAGAGGGGTGCGATACTCGCGTAATTGGGATTTAAGGAGTCGTTTGGCGCTACAGGATAAAATAATGTTGAATGATTGAGATGTTCACCCTCAACTTGATGTGGATGCTCATTGGGACTTCCTACTGCACACGCTCTTATGTGCTACAAAGCAATCAGTTCCTCAAACGGCCCTCAAAAGCTACAAGTAACCCAAAAATCATCAAGAACCGCACTCTTAGCCTGCTAAGCCGCAAAAGGCACTGTTGGACAGAATGCAAACGAACTGACAACAGCGCGTATATGCAATACAAACGTATAAGGAACATATGCACGATAGCTATAAGAGAAGACGGACTTCAGTACCAGATAAAGCTTATGGATAAATTTATCTACAACCCGAAAAGCTTATTCTGTTGTGCAGCCTCTCTTCGTCAAGCCAAAACTGGAGTTTCCAAACTGCTAGGTCCCAATGGCCCGACCAACGACGACGGCGGCAACGCTAACCTTCTGGCTGAACAATACTCTCGGACATTACAACCGACTCATATCAAATATACTGATGACGGCTTCATCTGCAACTGCACAGGACTTTCCGTAGTGAACCTGAGCGCTGACTTGGTGTTCCGGAAACTGCAGCACCTAAGAAAAGACACTTCTCCTGGCCCAGATATGGTTCATTTTGCTATACTGAGGGAAGCAGCCTCAATCCAGGCAACACCACTTAGCGTGATATTCTCACACTCGCTAAGCCGAGACAAACTACCGGAAATTTGGTAGCTGGCTTACATCACACCAATTTTCAAAGGAGGTCGACTCAGCGAACCTTCAAGTTACCGACCGGTAGCTCTTTTCTCTATACCATCAAAAATCATGTAGTCCCTGATATGCGATGGTATACATGACTATTTACTGTCCTTGAATTTCTTCTCATTCCAACAGCATGCTTTCAGGAAGGGTTACTCATGTACAACCAACCTGCTGACTGCAGTGGACAGATGGACAAGCATCCTTGATCGCAAGGGGAAGATTGATATCACCTACCTTGATTTCTCTAAAGCATTCGATAGGGTAAACCATATATGACTTATCAATAAGCTCTAACGATTGGGTATCAGACCACTTCTAATTGATTGGCTCATTTCATACCTGAAAAATCGGCATTTTAAGGTCAGGGTTGACTTCTCTTTCTCTCAGGCTGTGGAACGTCCTAGTAGGGTCCCCCCAGAGCTCAAAACTAGGACCTCTTCTCTTCTTGATTTACATAAATGATCTTCCACAACAAGTATCGTCAGACTTATTACTTTTTGCTGATGATGTGAAACTTTGGAGGGAGATACGCAACCAAGACGACATACAGGCACTTCAGGCGAATCTGACTCAACTTCAAAGTTGGGCGGACGATAACGGACTTACTTTTAACACTTCAAAGTGTAGAGTAGTCCATCTGCGACATGTCGCAGACCACAGTAACAACTTAGGAAACTCTTCTCTAGTAGTATATCAAGTCGAAAAAGATTTGGGAGTCCTGGTGCTCTACTATTTAAAGTCCTAAGCTAACTGTGACAAAAATGACTATCGAGCAAAACTTGCACTGGTAAAACTAAAGCGCATTTTGGACCAATGTGACGGAAGAACTTTCCATGTAATAATCAACAGTTTTATTCGTCCACATTCAGAGTACGGAAGCACAGTATTTCATCCCTCACTCCAAAAAGGTAAGGACACACTGGAGGGTATCCAACGGTGAGCCACGAAATTAGTCCAAGGACTCAAATTCAAACCTTATGAACAGCGCCTCCAATCACCTAACCTTTACACATTAGAGTAAAGGCGTCTTAGAGGTGACCTCCTGATGGCTTACAGTATCCTTAACACTTCTAGACATCCCCTTAAACACCTACTTAAGCTTTGTCCCAATAACAAAATAAGGAGTAACACCAAGAAATTGGAGATAAAACATAGCAGAACGGACTGTACACAAAACTTCTACTCCTTAAGAGATGTCAAACGCTAGAATTCACTGGAAACTTGAACCAAATCAATCAGTAATTATTGTTAATATTTATTAGAACAATTTATCTCTGTCCACCACAAAGTGCCGGACAGAGGAGTTGGGAAGCCGAAATATATATGGCACGTTTTTAGACAATTATCACATTCATTAGTCGTGATTGTGGTAGAAAATTTGATGCCCCAAAACATTATTCAAAATCCCCCAAACACCAGCCTAAAAACATGAATGGGTTGCATCATACCCATCACGTACTAAATGGAAGACTATCAGATGGCATGCACCTGCCCTGACAGAAATATATTATTATGTCCGATTATTACGGTGTAATTTTACAAAAGCAAGGACCAGAAACAAGTAGGAAAATGCCTTAAGGGCTGCACTTTAATCCTCGAATTTTCCAGTCTCAATACAGCTTATCGTATCCGAAGCGTTCCGCAGCGTAATCGTTAAGTAGATATTTGAAACCATCGTCATTCATCTAAGCTACAAACGAATGAGAAACTTCATTGTCAAAGACCCTGAGTCCACAGTTGACTCATCACATTCCTGTTACAGTTGCTATCATGTGTTACATATCAACTGGAGTAATTGTTATCAGTTGACTGGTCTCAGAGACATTCCGGTTTATTCTTCTCGTTTCGTTTCGAACAACACTTAAAGTCGAACTCAGCTATCAGACAGCCTTATTCATGACCAATAAAGATAAGCAAAACAAGGATCAGTAATTGCTGTTTGTGACAAATGAACATATCCTACCAGCCACTACGGTTCGACTAAATCAGCAATACTCTCTTGAGTGGAGGAAGTTTAGTCAAATAGCTGTGTTCTGGCGTTCTCGACTGAATTTTCATAGAAACCCTCTCGATGTCTGGCACACTGACTCAGTGGAAGGTTAATGCAATTCATATTATATCGAGTATTGGTGGTAGGATATCTGATATACAAACAGGGTCGGTTAATCTGTGACTTAATAGTAAAAGCAGTCCGACAAAATGAATATCCATCAATCTAAGGAAGGATAGATCTATCTTTCACCTTTTGATAGCTGTACTATAAACTGGTAGTAAGAGCTCTGAACAAGTCCACTCTACTGATGCGTCGTATTGTGCACAGTAGGCCGAGCTAGGTTTTGAGACTTTACAGGAGGTTCATATGCTATCAGAACACTTATAACACCTGAACTTTATTGCAGTTGATCAATGTGGATTCCGATACTCGGTGGCTTTATTCTGCCGAAAGATAAAAGGATGGAAATTTTTAAGGAAAAACGATCAACAGAAGTAAGTGGAAATGTTTATATTTAAATCTCACAATACAATCCTCGCAGCTTGTAGCGGAAAAAACGCTAAAAATCCCCCAACATTTCACTGAACACAATCGTCATTTAGCTGGTTTTCACTCCTATATCCGGGTGTCTTCTAAACCACACATTGTGTTCTTCGGTCTTTCTTGTAGGTGCTTTTGTTATTTGACGTTGGTTAAAGATTTTCCTTTTATTGTTTAACTAAATGTTATATGTTACCAGACCATTGAAAATAAGGTCATATTTGACTAAAATCGAGGTCACAGCGTGTATGGCTGTTAACCTCTGACTCTCTACGTTAAATTGGTTGTTGAAACGCTTACAGATAGATGTCTAGTCTCATCTTCATGGGAATATTTTTGTTGGTTCTCTGGTGCTTAACTGTTGCCTACTAACCATTTTCTGCTGTTAGCACATTAGTTTGCGCGAGAGAATCTCTTGACATTATGGCACCGGCTGTACCGTTTGATGTATTTAGTACTTCTGATATGATTTAGCCTGATTTTCGAATAAGAACCGTGTTTTGACATAATTTATTACGAGACAATCAAAAATGCTTCGTACGCTAAACAGAAGAATGTAGTCTGTCCCAATCGGATAAACTTTGGTTCGTTAATTCTGTGTTGAAACAGAATCTTGGTCTTTTGATGGTTACTGGTTGAAAACATGAGGCAATTGAAGCTAGACCGCTATAGAAATCCTGAAAGCACCGGACGGCCGTTTCGTCCTCGTATGGGAGTCCTCAGCAATAAGCATACACGATCCTGCAGCCCTCTCTCGCGAGATTCGAGCCCAGGACCTGTCAGTCACTCGACAGGCGCTTAACGAACTTGACCACTTAGCCGGCACCCAACGATGTTAATGTCTAATTTCAACCAATCCACAAAGTTGCGCCACCCGACACTTCGTGGATTGGTTGAATTTTAACATTAACAAGGTGCGGGCACTTAATTAGATTGTTCAACACCGATGTCGCCGGCTTGTGTACAGGTTTGATTGTCTCAGGCAATGATATTAAGCTAATAAAGGTGGGTCAACCAGACGTTACAAATTTGAAAACTGTACGAAGATACATCACTGTCTGTTACATAGTGCTTCACCATTCAACAGCTCGAATGGCAAATCTGGCACGGAAAATCGTTGTGAATTTACAGTCAGGCGTGCTTGAGAATGATTCCCGTACGATTAAGACCGAGTTACGCCGAAGTTATCATCTAGGCTCTTAGAGATAATTGTTCTGACACAACACTGGTAAACTCAGACTGCTTGTGATTACTCGGGTTAACGAAAGACCAAATATCAGAGGTATTCCGGACAGTAAGTGGTAATAAAACAGTAATATTTACGAATACGCCTTCTGAGATGTATTATTCAGATCGAACTGGACACTTCATTCGTGGAGAGGCTTTCATCTTGGAGAG